CATGGACAGTAGATGCTCAACGTACATGACTGGAAATACCATGGATTTTCTCTTACTGAAATCCCTGCAAGGAAGGGATGTACCCTTTGGATAATGGAAAGAAGGGGTACATTCTAGGTATGGGGAAGAAAAGAAGGTAGAAGTTCGTGACTAAGCTGGTGATATGAGCTGCTTGAATGCAATTGACAATGATTCGAAGACCTGGCATAACGGATTGGGGGGATACAAGTGTCTCACTTCTGGATATATTGATGAAGAAGGACCTGGTCCATGGTCTGTCAAATTCAAAGTTCAAAGGACACGGAGCATGCAATTCCTATGGGAATACTGAGCAGGAGTGAAAAGAGGTGCATGATCAGACCTCTCATGAACAAAACCTCCTAGAGTTGCTAAATGGAAGAAAACCAAAGATAACTCATCTGAGAATCTTTGGATGAAAATGCTATGTTCTCAACAACGGGAAGGACCAGCTTGGGAAGTGTGATGCAAAAAGCGATGAAGGAATCGTTCTGGGATACTCCCTCAAAAGCAAACCCACAAAGTCTACAACAAATAGAACACTATGTGGAAAGAAGTGTTCATGTGCTATTCAACGAGACATCCTCCTCTAAAAGGGAGGAAACAGTGATGATTAAGATAATGAACCACTTTTGGTCCTGGGAAATATCTGGAGTTCAAATGGGAAGGCTGATTTGAATGAGTAAGATGAAGGAGACGGGTGAGAGACAATGCAACATCCTCTTCTACTTCTCAAGATGAACCTGGTACTTCCATATATGAACCCTAGCCTTCCTAGCATTTCTATCCAAATAGAACCCAAAAAATATCAAGGAAGCCTTGTAGGATGGCAGTTGTCTTACTGAAACCGCAAGAGGAAGCTGACATCAATTTAAAAGAAACAAGGTATGGCCCTGTACATAGACCCTCAGACAGAACCATCATAGGGATCAGGTGGGTATTCAGGAATGAGCTGGATGAACATGGAAATGCTACAAGGAACAAAGCAAGGCTTGCTGTCCAAGGATTCCAATAGGAGGAAGGGATCAAATTGATGATGAGGACCTTTTGGCCAGTAGCTCGCATGGAAGCTGTTAGGATCCACATTGCCTTTGCTTCACATATGGAATTCACACTTATTCCAAATGGATGTGAAGAGTGCCTCCTGAATGATTTTCTCAAGGAAGAAGTCCATATCAAGCTACCTCTAGGTTTTGAACTGTCACGACCCGGATTTCCACCCTCGGAGTCGTGATGCGCCTACTAGTAACGAGCTAGGCAAGCCAACAAAATTTCACAATTTACCCTTTTTTACTATTTTATATTCATAGCAATTTTTAATAATAATAATAACATTTAAACTGGGAACTTAACATAAGCGGAAGAAAGAAGCCATAGAGCTATCTGAACACGAATATTTAATACAAGTGTTTTGAAACCTCGACTACCCAGAACTGTGTCACAAGTATCACAGACGGTCTAAGATTTACTACATACAAAGTCTGAAGAAAATATCAATACACTGTTTTCTGAATATAAGGAAAATGAAACAGGAAATAAGGATAGAGGGAGACGTCAGGGCCTGCGGACGCCTGCAAGTCTCTTTGGATCTCCGCGTGAACTGAAAAATAGCTCCAACCTACGGTCCGAAGTCCACAAACTGGGGTCTGCACAAAAGAGTGCAAGAGTGTAGTATCAGCACAATCTGACTCCATGTGCTGGTAAGTGCCTAGCCTAACCTCGGCGAAGTAGTGACGAGGCTAGGACCAGACTACCAAATAAACCTGTGCAGTTGTATAATATACAGCAGAAAGTAAAGTAGAGATAAATAAATAAAGATGTGAGGGGGAAACATGCTTCGGGGAATAACAAGTAAAAACAGAATATCAAGAGAATTATTAAGGAATCAAAAACCACCCACTAACAAGGATAAGGGAAACAAAGGCAGATTTCACTTTCTTTTCACATCTTGTTACAGGTGTGCAACCCGATCCCATTTCTTGTATCTCGTGGCAGGCGTGCCACCCGCTCCCATTTC